TTTCACTTTAATTTTTCCAGGGTCGGATAGCTTGGCTCTAGAGGTACGAGTTGTGAAGGGCTTCCTCGAGCACTCGATCGATCTTTAGTGCCTTGTTGGTCGCTCGATGCATCCGTGAGCGCATCTCTTTTAGGTCTAAAGTTGTTCGGTTCATAGAAGCTCGAAGTTCGTCTAACTCAGCTTGTTACTTTCGCGGTGCGGCTCTCTTTCTTTCGGCAGCTCATTATCTTTTCTGGAGAAAGCATTCCTCCTCGAAGGCGAGTTCTTCCGCATAACGCTCGTCATCTTCGTAATTGGTTTCCTTACGAGTGGTCTGAGCTTGCCTCACAGCTTTTGCCTTTGATTTGCGTGGTTCGTCAGGGTTATCCTCTTCAGCATCGTCTTTAAGATCGACCGTTGATGTCGACCTGCTAGCTATCACCGCACTCTTGTTTACATCTCGCCATCGGCTCTCTGGGTTGGGTCAACATTCATATCGATTCGACGAACTCTAGGTGCCTTTATAGGCGTTGAAAAGTTTAGCATTGTCGGGGCGACACGATCAGTTGCCTGAGGCACGAGTCTTTTTCCTCTCATGCGGCTCGTCGTAGCAAGGGAATCCTTCCGGCTGGTCATAGTATTGTTGAAGATGTCTTGCTCATTTGACTTCTTAACGAGCTCGTCGAATATTTTTTTTATCTGATCCAGAGGGACGAGATTTTATTCCGTGGCAGACGGCGTCTGTATTTGTGTATATTAGTCTACTGTGATGTTTTTCTCTCTGGGATTATCTGTCGTGGTGTTTTTTGTTGCGGATCCGTCTGCGACGAGTTCTTTTGGGTTGCTGCCGCTGTTGTCTCTGTCGACGGTCATCTCTTTTGATCTCGGCGCGGTGGGGTTGTTTGAGTAAGAAACTTTACGCCCCCTTAGATGGCTCCAAATTGTGGCGGTCGAATCTCACAATCACAAGTAAGTCTTCAGGGTTTATAAAGTTCTGCAGAAAGCAACCAAACGCGAAGATCTCAAAATAGTTTTTATTAAGCTATTAGAAAGCTGTTTCAGAATAGAAGAGTTTGTCAAATGAATTTCCGATCCCTTTTTTAGGTGAATACAATGAGCTATATATAGGATTTTTAGGTAAATGAGTCAGCTAATAAAATGAGCATGACCTATTAAGCAATGTATCTAATTTAGGTTCATTATTCCATTAAGCTCATTTCGCTTATGAGTTTAATGTCATTTTGGATCTAAATTCAGACTGGATCTTTGTAGATTTGCTTTGATTTCGTCAAGATGTTGTAGAGTTGATTTTGTCGCCATATCGATCTCATAGGGTAAAATCCGACCTCTACAGTTGTTATTTTTTTTAATATTTAAAGGAATTAAAAAATGGTAGACATATATAGAAATTAAGCTATTATAAAACATCAAAACAACTATTAACAATTCCAGTAATGTTTTAAAGTGTTGTTGATCGGTATTTGTATATTTGACCATTCTACTTTTTGAATCGTAATTATTGTTTGTCTAAGAAAGTTAGCTTATATACAGTTCTGATAAACTATCTAACGCGTTATTGGCGAATACCGCCAACAGTTAGCTGAGAAAATAAAATTTTAATTTTAATATTAATATTTTGTAGCTAAATAGGCGGTTGACAGAAATAATTATATTTATGGAAATAAATAAAAACATTTAAAATGTAGAAACTAATTCAATAACAATTAATAAGCATTTTATTGTTGGTTAACTTGTGCGTGATCAATCTTATACGTGCATTGTTGAGTTTTTCTTTTGTCAACAAAATCGAGTGATTCAAATGTCAACTCGTAACGAATTATTGGTAACTCGTAACGAAATTATACATATTTCACATGTCTATACTCAATAGTATATACATAAGAAAATCAACTAAATTTCATTAGAAAAAATAATCTCAGTACGAGGATGACGTGGAGAGAGCCGTTGATGAGGTCATTCTTCATTTTGGGAGCATGTGTTGTAGTAAGACTAAGTGTGATGGTATGGATGCTTGGATCTTTGATATTGATGACACGCTTCTCTCTACCATACCTTACCACAAGAAAAATGGCTTCTTCGGGTAAATCCCAATTCTCGAATTCAACCGGTTTAAGATCGGTATTTAGATCGATTTTTTTTGGTTTTGATTTAGATTAAAGACATGGATTAATCTTGGTTTTGTTAATGCTTATGGAATTTAAAACAGAGGAGAGAAATTGAACACTACGAAATTCGAGGATTGGATTAAAAAGAAGAAAGCACCGGCGGTTCCACATATGGTGAAATTGTACCACGAGATCAGAGAAGAGGAATCAAGATTTTCTTGATCTCTTCCCGGAAAGAATATCTCCGATCTGCCACCGTCGACAACCTCATCCAAGCCGGTTACTATGGCTGGTCCAACCTCCTCCTCAGGTAAATACCGAACTTTATTCGGTTCATACACTCTCTAAACCAAAAAAGAAAGAAAGCAAACGCTATTTGGTTCTCATTGATTCTCTAAACCAAAAGCCAATTTTGTATACTGAGTAGTTTTCATTTAAAAACCGATTTTGTACACTCCTCTAGTAAATCATTATGGTTTACTCTTAGACAGATTAGATAACGGAAGTACTAAAAGCAGAAAACTGAACAATGCAGGGGCCTAGAAGATGAGCAAAAGGAAGTGAAACAGTACAAGTCAGAGAAGAGCACATGGCTGATAAATCTTGGTTACAGAGTTTGGGGAGTAATGGGATACCAATGGAGCAGCTTCGCAGGTTGTCCTCTTCCCAAGAGAACCTTCAAGCTCCCCAACTCCATCTACTATGTCGCCTGATCAAAACCAAAAACAAAACTTTGATTGAGCTTCTGTGAACAAGAAGAAGAAGAACCCAAAAATAAGAGAGATCAGT